AGGAAGGAAGGAAGGAAGGAAGGAAGGAAGGAAGGAAGGAAGGAAGGAAGGAAGGACTCCACCCCCACAACCAGCAGAGGAATACAGTGGTCTAGCACAGTGTTGTCCAAACGTGGCCACTTTAAGATGAGTGGACTTCAACTCCTAGAATTCCCCAGCCAGCATGCGAAGGAGTCAAGGGACATCTTAAAGTGGCCAAGTTTGGACAACACTGGTCTAGCAAAAGCGAAACAGAAAGGTTAATCGCTTCCATCTTCAGCAGCCTACTTGGCAGAGGTGATATCCTTTCTTTTCATTAGTTATTAATCTCTCCTTTTATGCTGGCTGTAGAAGATGGAGCTTCGTTACTCTGCAGCTAATATGGAACTGCAGGTAACTGTCCTCTCTTCAGGATACTAAAATCTTTCCAAGTCATGGATGTGTTCAAGGATGGTAAAAAAAAAAATGCAGATGGCATTATTTGGAAACGACTGTCCCAAAGGATACCATGGATGTTCCATCTATTGCTCTTGACAAGGGTGCACTTCCCCAAAGGAGCAATTGTGCAAATGGGGGCTTATCCTGGACTTCCATCTTCTGCCAGAGCAGCAGGTGAATAGCACAGACAGGATTTTGTTTGGCCAAATTCAGCTGGTCTGCAAGTTCCAACCTTTTCTGGACCAGGAGGTGCTGAAGAAGTGACTGGTGTCCTTGTTATCCCTGGTTAGACTACTGCAATTTGCTCTACTTGGGGCTTATCCAGCTGGCACTGAATGCAGCCATCTACTTGGCAACCAGAAAAGCAGAGTAAAACCTATACTTTGAGAGCTACACTGGCTGCTGGTAGGCTTCCAGGTCTGATTCACGGCCATTATCTATAAAGCCTTCTATGGCTCAAGGCTCTGCGGTCCCTGAGACTATCTATCCCAGGTAGAATCTGTCCATCCAGTGCATGTTAGCAGGGAAGACAAACTGCAGTATTCACCCCACCCCCACGAGACTGGGTTGGGGGGAATGGCCTGGGGGGGGTGGCCTTCAAGGTAGCAGCTCCTCATTTGGGCAGCTTGCCCCCTAAGATCAGAATAGGCCCACCCTGTTAACTTTTCAGAAGGCCATCACATCTTTTCTTCCTCGGAGCCTTTGGTGTAGAGGACCCCAATTGGCCAGGCAGCAGCAGCGGAATTGTAACTACATTTTTAATGGATTGTTATTATCATGCTTTTATCATTGTAAGCTGCCTAAGCTTTTGAGAGTGAGCAGCTTATAAATGATTGCATAAAGTAAACAAATAATACACTTGGTTGGAATCCTAAGATTGTGAAGCCCCAACATGAGCCACCAATCTCAACATTCCTCCTGAAGGAGTTCTCCAAGACCATTCCAAAAAGCCTTCTCCTTGGAGCTCTGCCCTCCAACCCATATATGCCCCTAGGACACCCACCCAGCATCAGGAGCAATCATTCCTGGACCATCATCTAAGCTCTCCCAAATCCACCCATCCAGCCTTGCATGTGACTGAGGATGAATGATCAGGATGATATTTCTCTATTCCCTGTGCTGCCAGAGATGGAGTATGCTAGGCTCCGCAGGGAAAAGACAGAACACAACGGGCGCGGGGAAGCAAAACCCTGTGAGTATACTGCTGGGGCCACACTGCAACATATACCTAGAACCTTCTAAATTTCCATTTTACAAAATAACATTATATTAATGATTATTGATAGGATTGCCACCCATGTATTTAATGATTGGCACCTTTTTTCAGACTGATAATTATAATGTGCTGGCAACTGGGAGAGTCTCTCCAGGACTGTTCCAAAAGCTTTCTGGGGCCTATTTTCAGTATTTTCTACACTAGCTGGTCCACCAACACCTGTTGATCTGTTTTTATCTTTGATTTGCCCGCCACGAATATTGTATTTCTGCCACAGCCAGTAAACGAATGACAGGCCACCAACACATATGACTACATACCTGGTCTGTATACCAATAATAAGGGGTGGGATCAATTCCTTCTCTCTTGTAACCTTCTAGTAGCTCCTCACTGTCCCAAATACGCATGGAGCCTCCCACAATTTCACCCACGTTAGGCATCAACACATCAACCTAGAAGTCAAGACAAAAAACCATTGAAAAAACCACTGAAAGCCAGAAGATGAATATGAATTAACTTGGTTTATAGTAGGTCTTCCAAAACTGCAGCTCCAGGCCCACTACAATTCAAAGAACCTTATTTTAGGCCACCTAGCAGAAATGGGATGCCAAACAGAAGGTGCTGGTTGTAACATGGATGGCCCAAGGATTAAAGATGAGCAACACATCGGTAGAGCAAGGTTTCTCCTCTTCCCCTCCCCTTGCCAAATATGGGAGAGGAAGAGGAGATGGGACTGCAGGCCTACTGCCCATAAAAACAGATCTTCTGCATGTGAGCTTGAGTGACATCTTGTGGTCAATGCCCCATAAATCAGCCTCCTAGGAAGAACATCCAAAACTTTTAATCGTAGGGCACCCACACATTTTTCAGTCTGAAGGACTGCAAAATTTAATCACTTAGAATGGCTCTTTCCAAGTTAGGAATGGTCCATTTCAGTGGTGGAATGTTCTTTTTACCCCCTTTGCTACAAGCTAGGATTACAAATGGTGCATAGGGCATTCCCCCTGAACCACAACTTAACTTTCAGCATGGGTTTAGACACCACACTAGACCAATCACATTATGGCTTAGCCAGTCAGTCAATCTAATACCTTACACAGGACTATCTAGTAAGATTCTACAGCATACCATTTTGGGTGCCATATGAGTCATCACTTTTGAATACCTCTCACATATATAGATTCTCTCTCTTTTCCCAATGTGCCAATTCTTTACAGTGTAGGAAAACAAATGAACACCAACAATCTGAAATAACACAGCCCAGGAGAATTCAGCAGGCATGTGGATGAGATCTTGTCTACTAAGAGCTGTCAGAAATCAAGAGACTGGGGGGCGGGGAAGAAGGTGCAAAATGACAGCGTAACATAGCACCCTGAGCCCTACCCCATAAGCTCATGACACAATGTTCTTCCATTATTTTGATAAAAGCAGCAATATCCTGCAAATACTCGGGAATCAAGTCTTGGTTTGTTTTTGTTTTAATCCTGTTTTTGAACAGGTTTCAAGGCCTTGCTAACCACTTGGGGAGTTCAGACTCCACATTAGGAAGTCTAGCAACCCCCCACCCTACCCCACTCCCACGTCTTGCATGCAATACATGAAGGGGAACACAAACTGACAGATTCAGTAAGACGGGAGTCCTCGGGGCAGCGCTGCATGTAGAAGGATTTTATCTCAGCAGGAAATCGACACAGCAAGATTGGTTCATTAATAGCATCGGTCATCTGTCTCTCTGGAGCTTCTGGAATATCCTATGGTTCAAAACAGCAATAATTAATTTCTCCTTCTGCCTAGAACTGCTCTGTTCCACCTCCACTGGACTTTCTATCTAAGGAGTCATATCTTTAGCAAAGCATTCTTTTGAACTAGCCTAAAGCCTTATTTAACTTACTGGTACATTGGAGTCCTTGGTGCTCTGAGTTTGGTTGTTTGCTTGCAGACATTTCATGACCCAACTAGGTAGCATCACCAGAGCTAGTGAGTGTGGGGTTTCCTCCCTGTTTGTATACAGTCGCTTGCCCTGCCAGTGTTGTGGGGGGGGGGGGGGTTGTTCAACAGTTCAACCCTGAGCTACATAAATTCTCTTCTATTGTTACTGGCACTTTAACAGCCAGAACTGGGAATGATCAAGTGGTCAGATCAAATATTAGGGTGGTCAAAACAGCAGTCACAGTAGAACGGTCGCTTGTCCATGTAGACAACCTGAGCAAATCCTTCAAACAGCTGGACCGAACCCTTCAGAAACCATGGCTGTTTCAACCTTTTGAGGGATACTTTCATCAGACCCAAATGCTTCCATTCAAATACTTTGCTCAACCCTACCCAACATTATCAAACTCCTTGTGAAATCAATTCAACTGCATACAGATGGCAGGTTCTTTTTCCACTGAATCGGTTTAGTGTCCAGGACAAAAGAAAAAAATAAATCAGTCCTAGATGTCATCTTTCCTCATCTGGTTGCCCTCTAGGGAAAAAACAAACAAACCACCTTTATCCCATACAGTTCTGTCCAGGCATGATGGTTCAATTCATTCGAAAGGTGTTAAATTGAGAAAAATGGCACACCCAATGGTGAATGCATTGTCTAAGTGTAGATCCTTAGGTAACAAGCAGAGGCTTTGTTAACTTAAATATGAGATGACATCATAATATACATTTTTTATGGGATGCTCTGTTTGCTTATTTGTTTTATACTGTAGATGTGCTATCACTGTACCATGGATGTTTTATATTCTATTTTTGTGTACTGTCAAGAGTCTTTTGATTGCAGGGATGCAGAAATCACATATGTAGTGGTAGAGATACACAAAAATAAGGAATCTGAAAGTCTGGATCCAGCCACTGAAAAGAGCTTTTTCCCTTGCCTTCCAAACGTACATCAGATGTTGACAGAATGAAGAGGTCTTCGGAAGATCTGAACATCAGATAAGCTTTTGCCGTATTTAAATCAACCTGGCCCACGGTAATTTACGGCTTTACAGGTCATAAATAATCAACTGAATTCTCCTGGAGCTTCACATGCCTCTGTGACACATTAGATTAAGATAAGCCTTCCTTGACTGTCATTTACTGAATAAACTACCATTGGCTGGGCTGGCATGACCTGCCGAGCCATAAATTGTGGTTTATAAATTGCAATCTGTTTAAATGACACATGAAGCCAAAACCAAACAAACCATGATATGGTTTTGGACAATGCGCAACCAGGTCCATAGCCAACCCCCATCCAAAGCATTCTGCGGTTTCCCAAAAGACTTCCGAGGTAGCCTCACACAGAACGTATTACAGGAATGGAAACCTTCTGATGAGGAACACCCACCCACTCACCTTTGGGGATAACCTACTATAAGCCAAGGATGGGTAGATGGATCCTGAACCAAAGGCACAAGAAGGGGAGACTATTTTCCCTCTTTCTCTCATTGCCTTTTTTTCCTCTGACAGATACTTCTTTTCTCTCTTTTATTCTCTCGTTCTCCTTCTCTTTCTCACATCCTTTCCCCCACTTGGCAGGCTTGTCCAGAAAGAGACAGAGACCTGAATGTATTTGATTGCACTGGGCCTTGGGAATTAGAACAATAGCCACAATTTGCTGGCCAGCTTGACGGCTGATAGCTTGATAACTTGTGGAATTTTCTGATTTCTTTCAACTGGGATTTTTTTGACTTCCCAGTCTAAGCTGGGATCATCTTGTGGTCTTCCATCCAAGCTAATCCAAACCATCCAAGATCACCTAAATGCTGCTACCCAGTTGGGCCGGATGTTTAACTGCTTCTTTTTAAAGTACAAGAGTAGGCATGGACCCTTAAAAACAAAACCAGAAGCTTACGTCTCCAAACTCGTAGTAGGTGTCATCTTCCTTTTTCACCTCATGTTCCTTGAGCCATACGAGGGCATCTGTGTAGTTCATCCGCTTGAAAGGGCGCTTGGGAGGCTCAAAGTCCTGCAATGAGAGGTGAAAGATGCACTGATAAAAACTGCAAGACTTTGAAAACTATACCAGTTGGGTGCTGCGGAAAAGGCTGGGCACCCTGCTTCATGTCTAGACCAGTGTTTCGCATCCTTAGCCATTTTAAGATATGTGGACTTCAACTCCCAGAATTCCCCCACCCGCCCTGCTGGCTGGGGGATTCTTGGAGTTGAAGTCCACATATCTTAAAATGGCTAAGGATGCGAAACAC